TTTTTTTTTTTTTTTTTTTTTTTTTTTTTTTTTTTTTTTTTTTTTTTATTTATACACATACGATTCGAAATCAATTTTATTTCAATGTTAACTCAACCACTTCTAAACTATGTATAGATGTAGGTCGGATGAACGGCGGATGAAATTCTATGAGAAGCAACTTTAATCGCGACTGTTCTCTACTCTTCGTGACTATACTATAAATTAATACTATGCGCCTTAATAAGCGGATCCGATGTACACTCAAAAGTCCTCGCATATTTTCTGTTACGTTAATGGTTTCAGTGTTAATGACACTGGACTGTTAGATAATAATACTTTCTTTCTTATCTTGAAGCAAATACAATAACTGTTCGAGAACTTTTGAGCAAGAACTTTAACGCGAATCTCTGCGTTCCACGTCGATGACGACGGAGAGTCAAAGTTAACTACTCCGGCCGTCGTCAGTCGCACAATCGAATCCAAAGACAACAAGTCCAAGTTTGACTTTCAATTTTCATAGCGTCGGATTAGCTTATCGAATTAGCGCATCGATGGATTACTCCTTAAACTGTGATCGCGAAAGGGACAGAGAACGATTTCGAAGTTCAATCAATTCGGCTTAATATTGGAAGCATGGAAGCTAGCTGACGAAACGGAATAATTACACTCACAGATTAAATATTTAACGATTTCTTTTATCCAAAGAGTTTCGACACTTGGATAGAGAGGAAATTCTTATTAGCTACTCACGCGAGATTCTAATTCTAGATGCCGTTAGATATAATCTCCTACTGACTATAACTCTAGTTCCACGAGGATAATAAACGTAACATCCGTCGCGGTCGTTCAACTCAGTATAAACTCACCAATACGGTTTCTCTCGATTGTATCGGTGGATCGTTTTGTTTAAACATCTTCTTCTGTTTTGTTAGAAACGACCACGACAGATTCTTGACAGCATTAGCAACCTAAATATCATGTACCTACGTAACTACGATTGCTTAATCCCTAAAATACATCACTAGTCAGAGATGTTTATAAAAGTCAAACAAGAAAGTTTCCCATACTGTAGAACGTAGGATTTGGATTCTTCGTAAAATCTTCGTAACATCGTTGTCAGCGTGGAAGAAAAATTGATTTCATTCTCGAACATTAAATTTGCACTCTTGTAACTTTTCGTTTTACAAGAGCTGCTCAAATTTATTACTTATTGCTTATTACTATTTGCACATTCCAATTCACGTTCTGAAATAATCATGGGGGGGAAAGAAATTTTGAGGATCCGCAATTAAAGGGAAAGCAGACAAATGAGAGGATATCTCGGTCGAAGTCTAAGTCTGTAGGACTATGACTCAGTCTCTTGAGGGTGTCTAAAGGTACCACTCTCTAGCAAACACGAGCTTGCTCGAATACGTTACTGTTCTAGAACACGTACCTATTTACCAACGTATAATCAATTCTATTAATCAGTGACTGTGACTAAAGATAGAGTTTGCTAAATATAGAGACACCTGCAGGCCAGTAGTTCTGTGTTTTTTTGCGTGTGTATATGCATATGTGTCATTTTTTAATTTTCGATTCGAAAAAAAAAAAAATTGAGAATAATCGTTCCACGAATTCATGCACTATCGAAAAACCACCGCTCACATCAGTTAAATCGAATTTCCTTTCGTTCTAAATTGTTTGTTCGTGAACGTTTTTTTTTTTTTTCAATATTACGGATGCCGTTTTTTTTCCCCTGTTCGTTTCGACGTTTATTGCATATCGGATACAAGTGTACAGTAGTATCTTCTCGAAATTTTCAATATATCCGAATAGTAGCCGCTACACGAGTAATGTTTGAAAAAAAAAAAATTCATATGACGAATTGAAGATACTACGTGGCACATAACTTTTCCTTTCCTAATGAAAAACCGACGACTTGATGTGCCCATATATAACTGCATGTTCCGTGTGTTACGTAGGTAACATATACTTGTATAAGTATATGCGCGCGCGCGTATGCGAGTAGGTGCGTGGACGCGCGCGTGTGTGTAATTCGTCGACTTTTAAAACTCTCTAAAAGTACGAATAACGTGTGCACAAAACTGAACATAACGACAGAAGATATAGAGCAAATATAGTAACGCAATATAACACTAGCGACTAATTCACGCAAGTCCTCTATATAGAGACAATAGAATATTAATAATACGTATAGATATATATATGTATAATGTATAAGACACTCGAATTACGCAAACCACGTGGACACAGAATATATAGACATTATGTATAATTAATACCGATCATCAAACTGCCAACGATCATCTAGCGTCAATCAACTGTTTCTAATACACCCATAGCCTCTAAGTGATAGTCAATCAACAATAAAAAATGGAACGCTCAAACGACGTGAAAAACGTGTGTAAAATAATCGGGAAAACTAAAAGAGGAAACTAAAAGGATACAAACTAATAAATCTGTAAAGACGAAAACGTATATAAAAGATCTCAAGTATACGCATATTGTAAATTAGCTGATGCTGGTTTCGCTTGCCAGAACTAAACGTCGACCCAACGTGTCAACTAAAGCAAAAAAGACAGAGAGACAGGGAATGAAAGAGACATAGATAGATAGATAGATAGATAGATAGATAGATAGATAGATAGATAGATAG